GATGAACCGCAGCCTCCTGCCAGAGAGGAGAGTCTGAAACAGTTTGTGTCCGGGGTGGGAGGAGTCAGCTGCAATCTTTCCTGTTCGCTGCAGAGTCCTCGAGGTGTACAGGTCCTGAAGTGATGGAAGATTGCAGTTGTTGGTTTTGGCGTACAGTGCTCTGTAGCGCCTACCAGAGGGGAGGAGCTGGAACAGGTTGTATCCCGGGTGAGATGGATCTGCAGTGATGTTTCCTTCCCGTTTCCTGACTCTGGAAATGTGTAAGTCCTGAATGGAGGGCAGGTTGGCACCGGTTATTTTTTCTGCAGTCCTGACTGTCCGTTGTAGTCTGCTCCTGTCCTTTTTGGTGGCAGATCCAAACCAGACAGTGATGGAGGTGCAGAGGACAGACTGGATGATGGCTGTGTAGAACTGGATCAGCAGCTCCTCGGGCAGGTTGAGCTTCCTGAGCTGACGCAGGAAGTACATCCTCTGCTGGGCCTTCTTGATGATGGTGTCAGTGTTGGGCTCCCACTTCAGGTCCTGGGTTATAGTGATCCCAGAAACCTGAAGGATTCCACAGCAGATACAGGGCTGTTGAGTATGGTGATGGGGGGCAGAGTGGGGGGGCTCCTCCTGAAGTCCACGGTCATCTCCACAGTTTTGAGTGTGTTAAGCTCCAGGTTGTTCTGACCGCACCAGAGAGCCAGCTGATCAACCTCCCGTCTGTAGGCCGACTCATCACCGTGAGGCCGATGACTGTTGTGTCGATCCTGACGTAGGTTCCTGGGGAGTCCGGGTGCTGGAGGATGAATTGAAGGGCCATGTTTACTGCATCATTACTGCAGGGGGTCCAAGAGAGGGTCTGTGACTGATTAAAGGTGGGGCAACACAAGACGGGTCTGAAGTCGTTTAGTCCAGTTGTCCTTGGTTTCTTGGGGACAGGGATGATAGTGGAGGCTTTGAAGCAGGCTGGCACATGACATGTCTCCAGAGAGGTGTTAAAAATGTCTGTGAACACCGGAGATAGCTGATCAGCACAGTGCTTGAGGGTAGATGGGGAGACAGAGTCTGGCCCAGCTGCTTTGCGAGGTTTCTGCCTCCTGAAAAGACCGTTGACTTCCCTCTCATGATGGAGAGAGGAGGGGAGGGGGTGGAGCTGGCCAGCTATGGGGAGGGGGGGAAAGATGTGGTGGACTGGTAGAAGCTGATCGGAGGAGTCACCGGGGATGGTGTCTGATTGACTCTTGAAGCGGCAGTCGAGAGTTGTTGATTTACCTTTTACTCCACTATATTTATCTGACAACTTTAGTTTGTTGTTACTTTGCAGATTTAGATAAATAATACAAATTATAATCAACAAGTAAATGATTATGAAATATTAATGGGTAGTTTTCATACATCAAGAGACCCATACAGTTATTGCCAGATTGGATCATCACTAATTACTCTTTCCTAAAATCGCCAACATTAAAACCTAAAAAAAACCTTCAAAAACACACAAAGAAAGAAAAGTCTTGAGGCTGATTTAAAAATGTGTAACAGAACTCTAATATTGTTTTGTGTAAACTGCTTCTTTATTGAACATAGAAGAATTATCTCAATCTCAATGTATAAACATGAAATGACTTGTTGTTACTGGTTTACTGTATTTTATTTAAATCAATTGATATTAAAAGATGTTAAGTTCAAAAATAGGTGTTTAATCAGTCCCATAACGATTTTTATTCTTTACTTTAAAATAAAAACACCATTAGGAATGTTTGTATGACATTAATGCTTTTATTCAACAGCAGTTGGTGACAGGAAATAAAGGTGAACAGAACTGGAGCAGCGTTCCGTCACTACTTCACCTGGTGAACCGAGTAACTTCCACAAAAAATAAAGACAACTGTGCTACATCAGTTTAACTATTATTCCAATAAGAGCACTTTTATATGATCTTTAATTCAGCTTTGAAAATGTTTCCTGAGAAAATAACATTCAACATGTTGGTTTGACGTCAAGTAGACGTAAAAACATAATAAAATATAATAAATTACTTTTTCAAAAGAAAACTCCTGAGCACATTTAACTCCCTGGCAAACATGGGTCAATGATTTAAATGTGTTATTACAAACTATAAACATAAAACACATCAGTTTTTACATAATGGATGCAGAGCGATATGATCACATTCAATACTTATGAGCCAACGACCATTAGTGTTAAACTGTAAAAAGACAATCCTGTATTTCAACAAAAACTTCAACAACAAAACAAAAGTAATATTTTTCTTTACATTCATTCTAAGAAAAAACAAAATTCACATTAAAGCGATGAAATACAGTGTTTAGCGGGCCTAAGACCAGTCATGTCCCATATCTAGCTGATTAAAGACCGTTTCACACCGGAAACAAAACAGAGTAGAATATTCATTAATGATTTTTCACACCAAGTCAGACACAAATATTCTCGATCTGTGTTCATTCCACAAAAAATTAAAGCTTAGCCTCAATTCATTCGTTGTCATGAATGACAGTGAATGAAATGGTGCAGTAGTGTGTAAAAAACAGTTTTACTATAACACATTACATTCCGTGCATTTTAGCTGAAACAAACCCGCGCTCACGTCATCGCACTGGAGACAGGCTCCTTATTCTAAGTGTTCAATCCTGTGCAGAAAAACAATCACATGTCCACTGGGTGGAGACAGTGTAACGAGTGTAAATGCTGAACTTCTGGACTGGACTGAGGAGACTCTAGTGTTTACCCTTTGTCTACAATATGCAGATCATTTTTCATGTTTTCCCTGCTGTTTAAATGGTTTTTGAAGTTTGAAACTAATATGCATGATTCATTCACACACACCTTTACACGACCTCTGTAGGATCTTTACAACGACTGTGCGTCTGCACACAAGAACCTGCAGAAAAGAAAAGTATATATTACACAGTCACAGAGCTGACAGTTTATTGATCTCCATAGTTTTTCCTTGACTCTAAGGCCAGATCAGATTGTTTCACATTGATCTGATTTTTTCCAGTTCAGATTTGGGCTACTTTACGATACAAAATGTGAGCACTTGTAGAATACAACTTGTTGGACAAAAATCTGAACCTGTATGTTAAAATTCTTGGTTGTATAAAACATTCAGGAACATGTGAGCTGAATTTGAAGTCCCAGAAAGAAAAAAAACATGAAAGCTTGTATAAAATACATCTTAACTTGTATGTTGAAAGTTACACTCAAACACCTTCCACACACGCGTGTTCTCAATATATATTCACAAATGTGTGGATTGATATTTACATAAATACAAAGACAGCTGTAGACTTGAAATGCAACATTTACTCTTTTTGTTTGTTTTTTGTTTGTTTTACCTGAGTCCATTTTCCAGTACAACCACAACTTGGTAATTACAACCTCTCGAATTTGTCTCTGCAACTTCACAAATGTACTCGCTCAACATGGCACAGCCTTACAATGTGCCAAAAAAATTCCAACATACAAGTTCAGATTTTTGTTCTACAAGTGCTCACATCAAGTCTACAAGTTCTCACATTTTGCACCATATTTACCTTCATAGTCTGATTTTTTTTGAAATGCGACCTCAGGTAACATGGTAATACTTTAATATTAAAGAGGTAATATGTTATACCATGTAATTACCGAAGTAATACCGGGTAATAGCTTCGTATTAACAATGGGTATATCTGGATAATATTAGACTAAATGTATGTAACACTTTAAGAGTCAAAAGCAAAGGTTAATAATGAGAAAACACATTTAGAGATAGCAACGCGGCAATTAGAATAGAATTAGAGTAATATTTTAGTAACAATGTGGTAACCTAACGATAAAATAAAGATGAAAAACCACTGTAAGGTGATCACTAAGGTTGGAGGCAAAGGTAAAGTTACTGTAGAGTTGACAGAAACTTAACAGATGTGCACTCTGTAAAATGTATATATGTAACACTGCATGTGCGAGGACAGAAAATTACTAATAAATGAAATGGAAAAAGGTAGTTCAGCATTTTGCAGCCTTGATTCAGAGAATTTGTTTTTCAGGTAAAAAGTCACAGCATTAAACATTTAATTTGTACTAGAGCCCGATCGATAAATTAATATGAGTAATTGCAGATAAATCAGTATCAGTGTTTATAATAACCAATAAATTTATACAGTATTACCTTGAAACAGGACAGAATGTTTTTCATGTGATTTTGAAGATATTGTGTTGATAGAAGCGAATAATATTGTGACATCAACCTATATTCTAAACTATTTATAATATTATACTATATTACCTCATTATTATCAGGTTATTACCCCATTATTTCATCATATTACCAATTATATAATCCAAATATTGCACTGATGAAACCATTTTATTGTTAGAAGTTTATCATATTGTTACCAACATATTAGTTTAACATTACTAAATAGTTTTGCCTCGCCACTATCTACAATGTGTTTTCTGATTATTCATTCCCTTTGTTTTAGACCTGTTAGTTCTGTCATTTGTGAATATTTCAGTCACAAACCAGATGACATCAAACAAACACAAATAATGAGCGAGCTTTGACTCAGAGCTGATGTTTCACCTCAGAATACTGCACAGATATTTTGGTGTATTCGATCATTTTAAGAATCAGGACATAACAGCACAGTTTGTTTTTACAGTTGCACTTCAGGAGATAATCAAATCATTTAAATGGTGGTGAGTATCAGCAGACAGGCAGAATATTCAGGACTTTTACTTTCAAATGTTTCCAGAGACAAAATGGAAAAACAAGAAGTGAACGATGTTCAAAGATCTTAAAAAAACTTAAAGAAATAATTTCACATTTTGGGAAATCAAAAGGACAACATCAATTTAATGGACAATTTATATTTACAGCTATATTTATATCAAAGAACCAATAAATAAAGGCATAAACATAAGGGCGTCCAGTAGCTCACCTGGTGTAGCGCACAGGTTGGATTACACAAGTTCGGATCCTGTGCTGCATGTCATCATGTCTCTCTCCCTGGTTTCGGTCTCTCTTCAGCTGCTCCTGTCAAATAAAGACATTATATATATTTATATATCTGAAAAGATGAGACCATTATGACATGAGATGGTTTCTGTTAAGTATCTGTGATGTTGATGTCTGCACATGTCTGTGAATATGTTGATACAATCCATTATATAAACTCACCTTTATTACAGCGTACTGTGATGAACTTTGTAGCTACAAGTGAAGATAGAACTGCCAGAGGTAGAGCTCCTAAAGATAATCCACTAAAAAACCATCCTGTGACGTCCCCTCTGCTGCTCGTGTCCTCAAACAGTTTCTCTGAAACACACAACAAAACCTAGAGTCACACTCAGAATGTAAACTGTATCTCATGTACAGCACACTGGTTATTACCTACACAGAACTACTACTGAGGCGGCCATGCTGCTAAAGTATAAAACTATTTGCAGATAAAACCACCAATAGGATGAGCTCACTCAGCACTGGTTATATGGCTGATGTGCTCCTGCTCGACACAGTGGGTGACAAAGCGTTCTTTACCATTACATTACTAATTTTTTTTAAATTATGTTAAAGAATAGAGAGTAATAAAAAATGAAAATAATTGTTGTTGCAGCTTTACACAAGTCATTTTTTAAATTTATCTTTCATCAACAAAGTCACTGATTTCATATAACTACAGAAAAGTATCTTCTCATAATTATAAGAAAGTCATCTTTCAGTTATCAGTGTAACTTGTTTTCATGTCGATCCTCAGGATCAGGCTGCAGCAGCCATTTATAAATCTGTTACTGGGTTTGTGAGTGAAGTTTACTAAATTCTTGTGTTCCTGTGTTTGATCAGACTGATCTCAGAGTTTCTTTCTGTTATTTCCCTGCAGACCCTCTCATTCTTCCTCTCATCTCTGTAGATTCATGAAGTCTCAGAGTCTCAGTATAAGAGTGAAGCTTTCACTCAGTTTGACACTTTTTACACTTCTGCAGACGTCTTCATCACAACCTGCTTTGAGTTCAGTCTGAAGACACTTAAATACTAATAACACAACTATTAAAATGAATGACATGTTAAAAACACAACCAGGAAGAATCTCACCACAGATAAACACGTAGGTCTCAGTATAAATCGATGTTTGATCTCCTCCTGTGTGGCTACACAGCGATAGCGGTCGGTCTTCTTCACAGTAGTTTGGAGGATGATGTAGAAGCTGCCTCCTCTTTCTGAGACCTGTGGCTCCTCAGCAGGAAGTTTGTTTGCAGCACTGTCCTGCCACTCTACTGTAGGTTTGAAAAGCACCTAACTTCACACTGCAGCAGGGCCACGTCCTGCGTTTGATTAAGTATCTTGACAGACGGCTCTGGAGATGCTCCTGTGAACACGTAAACAGACACATCAGCTATAAAAGGACAATAACAGGATTATAAATGTAACACTGTGATGTTTCTTGTTCGTCTCTTCTCTGCTTGTAAATGAGGATTAAAGTGTGTTTAACAGAAAAACACAGAGGAACAGAAAAGCACAGTATCAGCCTCAGTTGCTCCTCCCAGCATTGTTAGATAGGACATGATATTTCAAACATTTCTAACTTCTACCAAAAGTCTGGAAACTAAGCGTCGCCTCATGTCTGTAAATATACGACAACGTATAACGTATTCCAGCACAACAGCAACTTTAACTATGAGCTCAGTAACAACATGTAACTGAATTTACATGTTTCAGACAAAATCAACAAAAACTGAACATTATAAACTTGGAAAAGGTAGAATTTATAGCAGAGCTGTTGTATTGAATTGCAACAGATTGTTCAGGTATAAATCTAGCTTTTATAAAATACAAATATATCTCCACATTTAAGAGTAGGCTTAAGACTTTCCTCTTTGATAAAGCTTATAGTTAGGGCTGGCTCAGGTGAGTCCTGAACCATCCATTAGTTATGCTGCTATACTCCTAGACTGCCGGGGGATTTCCCATGATGCACTGAGCTCCTCTCTCCTCTACTTTCGCTCCCTCTGTATGCAACCTCATCCCATTATTGCATGTTACTAACACAATTTCTCCCCTTTCCTGTAGTCTTGTGCTTTCTCAGACAGTCACAGATATTAGGCTGAGCCTAATTCTGCTCCTTAAGATCCGGTCTGGACAAAACGGTACTCATGTTGACCAGAGAACGGAGTTCAGAGACCTGCCTCATCAACATCCCGGATCAAGCACTCGACAGGTGGTCCATGTTCCGAGCTGTCAGTGAACGACTCAAGAGGAGAGGACGATGTTTTACATCGATGATGTTTGGTGCTCAAACGCAGTTAAGATGGACTCCCAGATGTCAGACTGTATATTGTGAAGATGAAAATTTCATATTATCACCTGGTTGCTGCTGTTTACATTCACCCCAGATGCAAATTTTAAAAATGCACTGTGTCTGTATATGTGTAAATAAATAACTGTATTGTTTTATTTTATTTGTTACCATATATTCATATAGGCCTACACTTAAGTATATGTTGTGTGTTGCAAGAAGGAACTCCAAATTTTTAGTTTATATAATGTGAGTATGTTACTTGATTCCAGCTATCGTTGTACTTTACAGTGAACAAATTGCAAAATGCATTTTTTTCACAGCACTTATGCCAAACCAACAGAAAAAGTATATGGGTATGTTTTGGTGTCATTTACAGGCGCAGCTTCTGTCCTCTGCTGTTACCGGTGTTTCACCGAGGGCACACACACACCATCATATTGAAGAAAGTCAGCACACTAGCAAGAATTACATCTGTAAATGCAAAAAAACAAAAAATGAAATAGTTACATCAGGTCAAGCTTTGCAAACAAGGAGGAGCGTTGCCCACACAAGAGTAGCCCCTGTCAGATCCACTTATAACATGGTGTGTTTGAGCAGCATATGAACGCTGTCCTGCAGAAAACCCGTGGGAGGAAATGATCAGTAGTCGAGTAATAACCTATTTAAGAAATTAAATGTACTTAATTATTCAGTAAAACCATGTGTTATTGTGACTTGGCCACTGACAGACAACATGGAAAATGTAAGCAAAGAGTGTGAAACACTGTCACTGTTTGTGCACCACAGTCCATTATAAACGACACATTAGATAAAGTTTATACAAACACTGACAAGAGAAACATATTAATTCTCTCTGATTATGACCCTCGTCAAAACTGCCCGCCAGAAACAATATACTGGAGTTGAATTGGGGGCTTTTACTTAAAAGAGTCTGCAGCCTGCTTGACACACCTCTAAAAGAGCCGTCAGAAAACGTGATTCCCCTAAAAGTCTTCTGCCTGGAGATACTGGGGAAATGCAAAAGCATCTGTAGGTTGATGGATGCGGAACATGTGATCTTACTCACAACCTTCTAGAAGAGAATCCTGCACTTTACAGACTGAGCTAACCAAACACCATAATGTTTAATGTAAATATTGTGTCTGATATTCTCATCACACAAAATTATTAGCCGGCCGCTGCTGTATAGTATTACTTCTTCTTCCACGTAACATACGTATTCAACGTAGTGATGAGTGTCTACACTGCCAGAATTCTACAAGAAGAAGAAGAACGTAGTGACAAAACGCGCCCTGAAGCGCTGTGTTTCCGTTTTGGGCTACTGTAGAAACATGGCGACTTCAATGTAAGAGGACCCGCGGTGTATGTAAATACTGTAGAATAGGCTCATTCTAAGGTAATAAAAACATAACGGTTCATAAGGTCTTTATACACCACTGAAAACATACACTGAACAAAATTATAAACACAACACTTTTGTTTTTGCCCCCATTCATCATGAGCTGAACTTAAAGATCTGAGACTTTCTCTATGTACACAAAAGGCCTATTTCTCTCAAATATTGTTCACAGATCTGTCAAAATCACAGTTGTGTTGGCTCACATTAATCTGTACAGGTGTGCCTAATAAACTACCCACTGACCAACCAGAATATATAATTTAACTATCAGGATGTACTGTATTGTGTATTTGTAGTTTTATAGTATTTGAATAACCTACATTTATGTCCACATAAATAACTGCACATTTGAATATTTCTATATGCATATTTGCATGATTCATCACATTCATTATATTGATTACATTTTTAATATTTCTTATTGAAATGATGAAATTGTATTCATCCACCACACTACACTGTTTCTGATGACAAAATGTGCTTAAATTGTAAAACACAGAATTTGGGGGGAAAAATAACTTCTGGAATCTGGATTTCATAGAGCCCTAGTAGAGATTAGGCAAAATGAAGAGACTGCATCAAACATTTTAAGGTACTGAGGCTTAGAGAGTTGTAGCACACATTACAGACGTAGAGATGAGTAATATCATTTTGTACACCGTCAACATTGAACTCCTTACAGAAGATTCTCCAGTTACAGGTGCTGGTACCTCTTATGGAGTTCAAGTCCCAGGTTACAGATGTCTTTAAGTAGGAGTGTAGATGTTTCCCATAGGCTGGATTCTTTAAGTGTATGTATAGGTGTCTTGGAAGATGTTTTAATGTATTATTGTCATGTGTGTCAGTGGACATTCTTAGCCAGGTCTCCGTTTAGAAAGAGATTATATCTGAGCTTCTTCATGGTTAAATAAATAACTCATCACCCACCTGGGATTTCTCCTGAACGGTCTTTGAAGGTGAGATCTGAAAGACAAATTAGAACATTAATTCACACACAGTGCATGGCCTACTAATGAAGTCATTTGTTACCTTCAAAAATGGAGTCAGAGGGAAACATGAGCAGAGGTTCCGATTCACAGCGGAGGCCAAGTATTTAAAGACAGAGCTGCACGTTTAGATCATCATCTAGTAAGATGGTGACAAGATGCGTCAGAATCTTTCTGATTGAGCTCAGCAGGTGAAACTGATTAGGCAGAACTCCACTTACCAATTTCCTGTTTGCAGAGAGTTAGATAAGAAGATCGATAACACACTTACGTACGTGCAGTTAATATGAAGCTACAGCAAGCAGACAGTTAGACAATGTTAGTTTAAAAATCAGACCTGCAAACTCAGGAGGGATGAAAAAGGTGACATGTTTGCAAACCAAACCCCTGTTGAAGAAAATCTTTTAACACGCAAACATCAAAACAGATCTCAGAACAGTGTCACCTAAATTCCATCAGCATGTCCACATCCCCACCAGAGGATCAAACACGCTGGACCACGTCTACACCAATATTCCTGGCAGCTACAAAGCCCTCCCCGTCCCCATTTTGGTTTATCGGACCATATTTCGCTGCTTCCTCAGCCCACTTACAGCCAGCTGATTAAAAGGGTCAAGCCAACAGTTAAAACAGTCGAAGTGTGGACAGATGAATCTACAGCAGCTCTGCAGGACTGTTTTGGGAGCACAGATCGGTGTGTGTTCAGAGAGGCCGCCGCCCAGGAGAGCCACATCAACCCTGAGGAATATACATCATCAGTGACATCAAACATTGTCAAATGTGCCAATGATGCGGTGACCACTAAAACGAGAGGTTAGGGCTCTATTCAGAGCCAAAACAGCTGCTTTTCAGTCGGGTGATAAAGAAGCTTACAGCACCGTCAGAGCGAGACTGAAAGCTGGCATCAAGGAGGCGACATCAGCAGAGACTGGAGAGAGACCTCAACACCAACAACACCAAAGATATGTGGCAGGCCATCTAAAACATCACAGGCTACAAAAGCAGGAGCTCCCACGTCATGTGTGAGGCCACATTACCAGATGAACTAAACACCTTTTATGCTTGATCTCCTCAACAAGGAGTCAGCTGTAAAGTCTCCTCCACCTCCAGAGGACCGGCCCCTGTCAGCAGATGTGAGGAGAGTCCTGCTGAGAGTGAATATGAGGAAATCAGCTGGGCCTGAAAACATTCCCGGCCGTGTACTAAAATCCTGTGCCAGTCAGCCTGTTGATGTTATTTCTGACATTTTCAACATCTCGCTGCCTCAGGAGAGGGTTCCCACCTGCTTTAAGACAGCCACCATCGTTCCTCTACCTAAAACGTCTGCAGTGTCTAGTCTGAACGACTACCGCCATGTGGCACTCACTCCCGTTCTGATGAAGAGCTTTGAGAAACTGGTTCTTCAGCACATAAAGAACAACATCCCAGCCAGCCTGGAACCTCACCAGTTTGCTTTCAGAACCAACAGATCCACAGAGGATCTCCACTGCCCTCCACTCAGCCCTCACACACCTTGAGAAAAAAACATCATAATGCTGTTTGTGGATTTCAGCTCAGCGTTCAACACAATCTCCCTCATGGAGCTGATCAACCAACT